GGAGGCGGAGCGGTGGGCGCGTCCCCGCGGGAGGCAGGCCGCGCGCGGATGGACGGGCGGGCGTCTGCCAGGCTTGCAGGAGCGAAGGCCGTGTGCCCGCGCGCTTCTCAGGACGCACGTAAGGGCGGCGGCTGCTCGCGCGCAAGGGGTGGACGTTCTGGTTGGGGACAGGACGGATGTCCGTGCCGCCGTGTGCGGCTGAGCTATTAAGAAAACGGCCCAGGACATGCCGGACTTCTGTGTTATCATTGGCCGCGCTGATTGTGTGTGGCTTCTCCTGTAATTTCAGCCTTTACATGTTCTCATGTAGATGCTTTCTTTCCTGAGCACTATGGCCATTTCTGTTTTCACTTTTACTGTTATTCATGTGTATGGAGTACAGTGAGTTATTAATTCCAACTTGCAGTTGAAAAGCATGAAAGTACAAAATCCTGTTTTCAAAAACTAGTGGTTAATTGATTACAGCTTTCAAGTTATGGAGATCTGTCCAGGTGACATAAAATAACTGTTCTTGAGAACCTATTCCTCAAAAGTACATGCACAGTGCACCTGGTATGGTGGTCCAAATGCTGAGAAGAGAGAGGCACAGAAGAAGCAAATGGAGCAAGCATTGAATCAGGAGCGTGCTGAACACATTTTTCTGATTTTGAGAGAACTAAATGTGCAGGGCACCAATACACTTGGGGAAAACATAGTCTTCTGTAATTGAGTGAGAGGCTAGGTGTTGAGGAAACTGAGAGGCCAGTGTATGATGGAAAAGGAAATCTCTACTGCTCTCCACTGCCTAATTTTTTGGGGGGTGAGTGGGTGCCAGGAAGGGGAGGGGAGATTCCTTATAAGGAATTGTATCCAAGCATGTGATTTTGAAACAATTGGAATTTCCTATATAATTTTTTCTTATTGTATTCCTTCAAGTGTTAGATACAACTCTTCAGACAGCTAAGAGCCATCATAGAATAGCGACTGCCCCAGAGTGAACACTTTAATACTACTTGTGATGATTTATTCCTATTTTTGTTTACAGTAATGGGGATTGAGTCCAACACCTCATACTTGGCCAATGAGCTACATTCTCAGCCTTTTTTATTTTATTTTGGGACAGAGTCTTGGGAAGTTGCTCAGGTTGGGCATGAACTTGCAGTCTTTTTGCCTCAACCTCTCATGTAGCTGGGATCACAAGTATGTGCCGCCAGACCTGTTTTGGCATGCTATTCTTTTAATGTATTTTCTCTTTCCATTTTCTGCAGAATTTCCCATGTCCTACTTTGTAATGTAACCCAGAGAGTGTCATTCTGGTTTGTGGTTACAGACCCTTCGAAAAATCATACTCTTCCTGCTGATGAAGTACAGTCAGCCATAAGGTAAGCACCGCTAGATGCTCCCTTTACTGGTCAGTCAACTTGCTGATTAACTTCACTGTTCTCAAATCTGAGGTCTCTTTCGCACTCTGTTCCACCCAGGATTTATTAAGATGTCAAAGATTTCATTTTGTTTCTATTAGACATCAGTGTAGAGCAGTGACTTATCCAGGGGCAATTTTGCCTTGAAGCAGACATTTGGCAAGTCTGGACTAAATTGTCTGCCTTAGAGGTCCTGGTAGGGGAAGCCAGTTAGGAGATGGGAAATGACCAATGAAGTAGGAATTTATATTAGGAATGGCTAAGTGTATTAGGCTTGGATGAAAAAGAACCAGTACCAAGAAAGAGGAATAGAGTGGAAGAAAAGGAGATTGTACCTAGAGGTAGATAATAGGAATTTCAAAATTGAAGAATCCATATGGTTGAGCAAAAATACTAATTTTGCCTAATTTTTGCACAACACTTTCTAGTTCACAAGGTCTAACACATCTATGGCATTTGATACTGACACCAAATTATTGTTTATTCATTTTTTTGACACCAATTAAAAAAAATATTACAGGGTCTCACTATGTAGATCAGACTCATAGTGATCCTCCTGTTTTCAGCCTCCAAAACGCTGAGTTTACAGGCACACACCACCACACCCAGTCTCAGTCACGCTCTCTGCATGCCCTGGGGGTGGGACTGCATGCCATGGATCAAACCCCAGCCGATGCACTCTGCCTAAGCAGGCACTTTAGACACCAAAATTTTTTGAGTGGAGTAAGTATCTTTGTTTACCCCTATTTTATATATGAGGAAACTAAAAAAAAAAAAACAAAGAAAAAAGAAAAAGAGGAAACAGATTCAAGGAGATTAGTAGATTTGCTTTAGCTATGCTAGAAAGACAAAGAGGGCCAGCCAACAGCAGCTGGAGGTTTGATCCCCGGGCCTGCCATGTTGGCCCCAGCCCCTGGGCGCACTGAGAGGGCAATTGAGACTGGATGTGGTGGTGCACACCTGTAATCCCAGCTCTTGGGAGGCTGTGAACAGGCGGATCACTGTGAGTCTGATCTAGTAGTGAGATCCTGAATACCCTGTAGACCCTTCCCTAAAATAGAAAAAAAAAAAAGGACAAAGAACAAGTGGACAAGGACTTGAGTGGATTCATGCTACCACCATAACTACAGTGAGTTTTACTCTGTACCTGAGTAGGCACACTTTTGGAATGAGGCAGAGGAATGAGCAGCTAATTCTAAGGTGCCTGTTGTAGATTTTTCAGGGAGGAGTTTGGAAGACTTACTGGTCTGGCCAGCTTGCCTAGTGTAAGGCTTAGTCAGAGCATTCCTTTCTGATTTGGCTCTTACCTTCCCTCTCTTGGGAATTTATGGATCACTTCAGGAGAGAGAAGTATCCCAGGCAGGAGTGACAGGGAAGGCCAGAGGAAAATGGACATGGGTGGGACCTGAAAGAGGCTCAGGGAGCTATGTTAAAGATGGGGTTGCTAGCCCATCCAGATAAAACATCCAGACAGGCAGAGGCAGGCAGCCACCTTGCAGGCCCTTCTGCCTTAGCAGGATGGGAGGGTCAGAAGAGCACCCCCTAGAGGCTCCTATTGTGCCATCAGTAGTTCACCAATGCCCTTCCCTTCCTTAATACTCCACTCCAAGTAGGATGTTTTCTTGTCTAGTTCCTTAATGTTTTCTCTGGTTATTTTCTACTTCTTCTGACAGCTGATTGTGAGTTACTTACATGCATTTAAAAATAAACATGTTTTCCTACATCTACATATGTGTTAGTCTCATCTGCCGAAGTCATAGTTTCTAATTAAAAGATGTGCATGCTTTTTAATTCTGCTTAGCTGTCTGTGTGCAAATTTTATCTTCCTTTGAGTGTCAATAATTTTGGCTTGAAGCTCTGTGAAGGTTTTTTTTTTTAATTTGACTCTAGACCTACGGGGGTGCCATATTGGTTCATATCCTGTTGTAGTTCATTTGTGAAGGTGAGGCCTAATTCAATTTGGGTCCTGGTTGAAAGATATATGTAGTGACTGACATCAGTAGTAACAGCTTAATATGTTTTTGACCAGTGTTTGTTGAACTAGAACTTGTGATCAGTCTCAGAAGGGCTGGAGAGCATTTCCAATGAGGTTAAACAACAAGGTACAATTATGGACTGAAAGCTCTACAGACTGTAAGCTAAATAAACCTCTACTCCTTTAAAAAAACCAATCAGGTAGAATCAGTATTCAGGATGACTTTTCTTCCTGAGTCATAGGTTGGTGGTCACGTTCATTAATTTGTGGAAAGGTTTGCATTTCAGATTATCAGTATTAGATTGTGAAAAAGGAAAACATTCTATAGTTTGATAAAAATTACATTTAAATTATCCCTTGATGTAGATGTTCTGGTAGGCTTTCTTTTTCACATCCATGAATATTCACTGCTTCAGTATAGAGAGCCCTTCACAGTCCTTATCACAGTCCAGGAAGTTTTTATTTTTTATTCTTTATTTTTATGTATCTGGTATAGGGTCTCACTGCAACTCAAACTTGTAGTGATCCTCCTCTTTTCAGCCTCCCCAGCATTGGGATTACAGGCATGTGCCACCATGCCTAGTCTCCTTGGCTGGCTCAACGCACCTGGGGGTGTGGGGTTGGCATCGCATTTGGGACCCCTGAGCTTGTCTAAGTAGATGCTCAGTTCACTGAGCTATTTCACTGGCCTAGGAAGTTTATATTTGTAATCCCATGAAAAAGTTATTGGAAGTCTAATGAGTTAATTCTAATCTACCACTCCTATTGCAAATTATGGTGAGAATAAAGACTCTAAGGCAAATTTGGAGTTGTGGGGAACCAAGGGGTCCTAATTCTGGCTATGATGATAACTGGGACAAAGGCCTGACAAATACCTAAACCCAGGGATTTTACTAATTTGTGAAGAACGTGGTTTGAGGGTAAGTGACTGTGAGAATGGTGGGAAGTACATGAGTGGTGTGAGCTGAGCTAGGTAGGAGGCCTGAAACCACCTCTGCAATATGCAGAGAAGGATATGCAGGAAGAGCAATCTGCACAGCACAGCTGAGGCAGTATGGGATTGGTGCTTCAGCTCTGATGTGTAATCTTTTATGTCCTGGGAAGGCCTAGCCTCTTATCTCAAGGCTGGATCCCAGCAGATAGCATGGAGTGCGGCTGTCCATCCCACCCAACCCACCTCACACATGTTCATTTGGGAGCTAGAGAGGCAAGGAAACACTGCCATGTCTTCTTTCCTTCCAAGCCTGCATCATCACCTCAGCTGGACTGATTGGCATTGCTTAAATCCAATTGAAGGGATAAGGAAAAGTCCTAGCTATATCTTTCTGTACAGTGATTCAATACATGGAAATAGGGCCAGGGTTAGCCAGAATGGAGACAGTTGCTTTTCCTTCAAGGAGAGTCATCCAGGTGGTCCTACACACTTCAGCATAGTTTGTTTTTTATGTGGCACTGGGAGTCCAATGCAGGGCCTCACACACACTAAGCAGTGCTCTACCAGTGATCTGTATGTGCAGTCTTTAGTGCAGATTTTTATTTGCTAAAGAAGATCTGGCCTGCAGAGATTCTCAAGCCATTATTATCACACTCTAGACCTCTAGACCTGGACTGTCTTATCAAGCACTTGAACTGTGGCCAGTCCAAAATGTTTAAAAAAATGTAAGGTACACAGCAGATTTAAAAGGCAGTGCAAAGGGCTGTCTAGATAGCTCAAGGGCTGACCAGATAGCTCAGTGGATTAAAGTGCCTGCTTAAGCGAACTTGGGAACTAGGGTTCCATCCCCAGCATGCTGCGTTGGTGCTGCCCCTGGGGCGCGCTGAGACAGTAACAGAGACTGGGCATGGTGGCACACACCTGTAATCTCAGCGCTTGTAAGGCTGAAAACAAGAGGATAACTCTTGAGTCTGATCTACAGAGTGAGACCCTGTAGATCCTTGTACATACAGATACATAAAGATAAATAAATAAAAGGAGGTGCAAAATAAAATGAGAACCAACTCATTATTGACTGCATGTTGAAATGATTTATTAGTATTTTTTTTGTATTTAGTATAGAGTCCACAGGGTCTCACTACACAGATGGGTCTGGTAGTGACTCTACTGTTTTTAGCCTCCCAAACGCTCGAATTACAGGCGTGTACCACCATGCCCAGTCTCAATCACTGTCTCAGCGCGCCCTGGGGTTGGGGCCAGCACAGCATATCCAGGGATTGAATCCTAGTCCCTGGCGTCTGCCTAAGCAGGTGCTTTAATCCGCTGAGCTATCTGGCCGGTCTGAAATTATTTTTTCTTGAGTGTATTGGACAAAATCACATTTTGAAAATTAATTTTACTGATTTAACAAATTTTTAGCGTAACTACGAGGGAATTTTAATTTATGGGAGGCTTACATTCATTATTTTTCTCTTTTCCAGGCCAACTCTAAAGGTAGATGAAATCTACTTGTGTAGTATGAATTTAGTAAAGGCTGTAAAGTATCTCCGAAGAATCTACTCACCAAGTTTGCAAATTTCAGTTAGAAATTCGCTTATTTGTTTTCAGTTAAATAAGTCTTTAACACAAACCCCCACCCCTGACTTCCACTACCACCCCCCAAATGCAGATTTTCCTAAAGAAAGTACCACAATTACCTTTATATTTTTCTAGACTTTTTGACTACTGACTCACCATTGTCTTCAGCCATATGGAACTACTTGCTGTTGCCCAAACAAGTCATTCTTGTCTTCATTTTGCACTTAAGTTTAAAGAACTTCTATTGTCCCTCAAAACACAGCTTGAAAATTGTTCCATAGAAAAGCAGCCTTGATTTCTGCCTGTACTATATTTGCCTCTCCCCTATGCTACCACTGTGCCCATCTTTATCACTCCAGCAGAACACTGTGCACTGCACTGGGCTTCTGAATATACTATTCAGCCACCCTTCTATACCATAAATTCCTTTTCATTTTATACTGTAGCCCCAGTACTTAGCACAATATCTGATACTTAGTAAAGTTTGGCAAGCAGTTGTTGAATTAAAGGGAAAAAAATCAATTTGATGGATTTGAAGCCAATCTTAGTTCATGTTTTTCTTTTTGGTTCCTGACTTTTGTTTTCTTCCTGTATTTATCACCAACTTTGGACACTTAGTTTTATTTCAAGGGGCTACTGGTGTTTATGTAAGCCACCGTAAGCAGAGTTCTGCCATTCTAATCTAGATGCTACCTCTCAGGCAATCAGACATGGTGGGCAGAGCTCAAAGCTCAGGACTTATGGTTACTTCTGGAACATTTGCAGCAAGGGAGGGCATCTCTGTGCAGATGGGAATCCCTGGAAGCCAACACAACAACTACTAAAGGAAACCACAGCACAGTTGCCTTCAGAAAACTTTCTAGCCAACCTGAAGTCACCTGCTAGAACGATGCTTTATGTTTATAGATATGTTTATTACCAGGGAGAGCAAAGTCTGTACTTGGTTTCTAATTTTTTCTTCCTTATTTTTTTAAATTATTGCATTGTAGAATGAACAGGAACCGGATCAACAATGTATTCTTTTTGAATGACCAGACTCTGGAATTCTTAAAAATTCCTTCCACACTTGCACCACCCACAGACCCATCAATTCCCATCTGGATTATTATATTTGGTGTAATATTTTGCATTGTTATAGTTGCAACTACACTACTGATTTTATCAGGGATCCGTCAACGTAGAAGGTAAGTGTTCAAAGGGAATGATTCAAAGAACATTTGCTTATGTTTTCATGACATAGACAAATAAGGAGAATGAGTTTTTTTAGTTGAATATAGTGCCTTAAACTTGAAAAATTCTTGACTTTTAAAACTACTACTTATTTTAGTCTTGTTTGCTTTATTTTAGAGTCCAGTGGCCCTTACTTAGTGAGACTCTTTCTATTATTTTTATTTTCCTTATTCTATACTACATGAATGTCTCATATTCAGACTTGATTTTCATATATGTGTTGTGGTTTTGTATACTGAATACATGGAGCTAAGCAGACTTTGGGTAGGCAGAATTTATCTTGGTGATCTTTCATGTCCAAATGCTAACAGTTCCATAGTTCCTTCAAAGCCTTTCCACCTTGGCTTGTCTCTTCTGGGCTCAAGGTCCTCAGTTCATTTTCTCATCCCAGTTGCCCTGCAATGCTTCATTTTTCCCTCCCATTGCCAGATGTACATCTTTTTAATGCCTGTGATGCCTACAGCTGGATTCCTCCCAGCATTTGAATCAATTTGATGCCTTAGAAGTACCTGGGACATTTGTTTAAAATGTAGATTCTGGAGGAGCACCAAGATGGTGCAGTGGGAAGCAGCAGATAAAGAGCCTGTCTGACTGTTGCCATGCAGATGCTGGAATATAGCAACATGAAGAAGAAGACAAAGAGAAGTGAGTTAAAAGAGAAACTTCACTGAAGAAGGAGATAGTGGGTGGCATCTTCTCCCTGAGATGAGACTCACTGTGTGAGAGGAGTGGTTCAGATTTGTGGACACATGTTGACTGCTGGTGACCCCACAGGCCTCTATGGAGAGACACAATAGTGAAAGGGAACACCAGATATTAGTACTACACTAGCTGGTGACGAGTACTGAGGGATCAGTCATCCTGAGTGAGACAGCATTTGGCTGGGAGCCATGTTGGGGAGGGGCTGACTGAGTCAGAACTCACAGCTGCTGGCTCCATCTAGCAATTCCCAGCTGAGCTCAGGCCCATGGAAGGTATGATGACAGTGGCAGGCTGAATAAGTCTGGTCTCAGCCAAAAGGTGCAGGATGGCTGAGATTACCCATTACCCTGCCAAAAAGCAGCTGCTGACTTGCTTGGATAAATCAGCATAGTTCAGGACTCTGTCCCTACACATTGTCTACTAGTGTAGAAATATACCTTCAAGTAGAATCTTTTTCTTCCCCCCCATCCCTCTCTTGATTGTTTTCTTTTTGGGTGTGTGTGTGTGTTTTTTCCCTCCTTCATTGTTTGATGTTTTTTTTTTTTTTTTTTTTTTTTTT